CTAGATGCGAAAACTTTCCACTTCGACGCTCGAAACTTGCAGTTAAACTGCTTACAAATCAATTGTATCGAAAGTTGCTAAGGATTCAAGTAATCTGATGTTGTTCCGGTACGAATGTAACATATTTGTACACCGTCAGATCACGAGATCTTCAGCGGCCCAAAAACATCTACAAGGATTGAAGTTCGGCTTTACCGATTACATAAAGTACCAAAAAGACTTGGTAAAAGGTTACATATCGGAAGCGTGAAGTTCATCGAATTGCGTGATGAGCAATTACCTCAAGGAATGCTTGCTTCAGACACTTGGGAGTAATCCCAGTGTCAAATAGTTGCCTAAATCTTCGAGGGGATGAAAACAAAAAAATATTCAGTACTCGTGTGCTTGGATGTCCCCAAAATTGAAAGTCGAGATTGCTAGACTAATTTCCACATGTCTTGAATCAGCAACATTGTTTTCTAGTGTTAAACAAGGAGATTCAGCGATAAAACAGCAAATGCAGAATGCCAAACATTCAAGTTTAGTTACGACAATATAACAACCATGTTGGAACTTTGTCAATGTGTGTCAGGCAATTGAGACTTGATTGATGTAACAACTGCAAGATTTGATTGATTCGGAGTAATTTCATTATGATCGTGCAAATCACGTTGCCCCAAAACAAGTTTCAACGAATGTAAGATCTCAAAATTGTCGGCAATAACCGAAATTGACTCTAGCAAATTGTGCGTGATTCTCTGCTTCGGCAGCTATCACCAACAGCACAATCAAAGGGTCATTGACTGCTGTAACTTGGTACTAATCGCCTTTGTTCCGAACGTCCACTTTCGGGAGACCATCTACGCTGAGATCTGCTGGTGGAACACATCGATGTGCCTGACTGACAATTTCGTCACCTCGATTCCAGTTCGCATTTTGTTCAATCAACCCTTATCTCTGCAAGTTTATATCTCGAAATTTTTTAGGCTGAGCCAAAGAATACAAAAAATTGTAGCAAAATGCAACGCTTTCTAATAAAATATCACCAAAAATGCGGGGAACATATCACAGTAATAAATGGCAGAAACAGATGCGACCACAACACTAAACGCTAGCGTCGTGTCCACAGCGTCTCAATTTAATTCTCAAGATAAGTTCTCTCCGGCAGCTTCACATAACTCATTTACGGAATTGGTTACGATCAAAGATCTTGCAAATGAATTAGCCGACTCGGAAGAAGAAGAGGTGACAACTGCCGAGTTTTCCGTTGACTTGACTGACGGCCAGACGTGGGCCATAAATTTCTATGAGTGCGCAGCTGAAGGTGATCTTGAGTGCTTAGAAGAAATAATAGAAAGTGGGCATGTGAATGTTAATGATGTGGACGTGGATGGATTTACGGCCTTGATGGTAGCCGCGGCCGAAGGTCACCGCGACGTGGTACACGCGTTACTGCGACGCGGTGCCGACGTCAATATTCGGACTCATGAACTTCGATCGACTGCTTTACACTTTGCTGCAAAGGTAAAGAATTGAGTGGATTGTTGAAGCAATAACGTTGTAATGAATGCGTCATGTTCTCATGTAGAACGGAGACGCAGAGATTATAGCTGCTTTATGCGAGAGTGACGCACGGGTTGTGGACGCTTGGAACATTAACACTGACACGCCGCTGATATGGGCGTGCATTGAAGGCCGAGCTGAGGCTGTGAAAGTTTTGCTGGAGTATGGTGCAGATGTCGACGTGTTAAATCAACACGGCGCGTCAACGTTATTATGTGCCGTCATGATTGGCGAAGAACCTGATCAGGATGCTGGGAGTGATGATAAAAGGGCAGACATTGTGTCCATGTTACTGAAAAAGAATTCGAAGCTAATCAATTTTCAGGACCGAGAAGGTAGCACGGCCATGCACTTGGCTGCATCATGCGGATACTTAGAATGCGTCAAGACGCTGTTGGCGTTTGGCGCAGATATCACATTACGGAATGTAATGGGGCAGACTCCGCTTGAGGAAGCACAGGACTCGCATGTACGCGAGAGTCTTCCATGTGTCGAGCATTTGCGTAGGGTCTGGCGACAGCTGGAAGAAGAAGCTGCAACACGCATGATGGCAATGCTTGAGATGGAGGAAGAGGCGGGTAAGAGTGCGACGGGAACAGGTCACGTAGCTGGTAGCAAGAAGAATAAGAAGAAAAACAAAAAGGCAAAGCGCAAAGCATCAAAATCGCACCAACAGCCACACGAATCGGATTTAGATGCTGATCTTGCGAAAGAGGAAACGACGATAAATGTGGTTAAGTTCTTAGGTAATGAGGAAAATCGTGCAAGCTCAAGTGAAGAGAAAGACACGTCACGCCGAGCTTCTGTCAAATCTCCTGATCAAAATAGCGACGAGGAAAATGAAGAAAGGATTGATGTGTCGGATACAGTTCAAATAATGGATGGAGACCCCACGGAAGGACTCGATGCACTAGCCTCAACTAATGCGTGGACGACTGTCGGTAAAAAGCATCGTTCTGCCATCCCAACGGTTACTAGCAGCTTGGTTAAATCGTCTACTTTTATTCCTCAGGAGACTGCTTTATCGCCAACGACCCAGCAAAAGTCTACGACGACATCTTTTTTTCAATCTGCCACACATCAGTGGACGAATCGACAATCTAGCAACGCTTACGAATCGAGTGGTGAAAGAGCGACTCCTGAGTCAGTTGTTGCTCGCACCTCGACGAGAAGGTCATGGAAATCGAAAAATAGTATCCATACGACGTCATCAATACTAGATCCTAACGCACCTGTCTTTAAATCTCATGAGGTGACGAATGAATCAACTAGCTCCAGCGAGCCAAATGCAAACCGTTTAAGCCACTCTCCACTTATGCAAACATCGCCGTGGCAACCGAACGATGGCTCCTTGCGTGCAACGGCTTCGTGTAACCCTGCGTCATCGTCAGTAGCATCGACACGTGTTCATTACTCGTCTAGTAGTGGACGATTGCAGTGGAAGCATCAACATTTAAACAGTCACCGCAGAGTTGTAAATGAAGTTCGTGATCGATGGTTAAGCAAACTGCGATTAAGCAACGACAATGTGACTGAAACACTCGGATACTTGGCCTGTGGCCTGTGTGGAGAGCTCGTCCATGATAATTTGCAATGTAGTGGCGGTACTTCTGGATCTTCAGGAAAGAAGGCTGTACTAGCATGTACGCAATTATACTGTGCATCATGCCTTGAATCTGCGGCACTTCAAATGGCTAACTCGACGATGTTTAAGTGCATTCGATGCCATGAAGTGATCGCAAAAGATTCCATGACTCGGAACAGTCTAGCCCAAGCTCAAGCTGCGTCGCTAGGGCTTTCCATGTCTCATTTGACTACTGCAGACGAGTCAACCTGCTACTCGTTGGAGGACATGCAACAGCTCTTGGAATCCTCAGAATCTCGCGTGTCTGCCGTGGATTTACAAGTCGTCCACTTGCTTCCAGGTATGGATCTCAGTATGCTGAGTAATGGCCAACTTGAAGTGCTAGAAAGTATTCATCAACTCGGGCTCGGGCAAACTGTCGAGCAGCGCCTTTCAAACGCCCGAGGGCTTGAGCGGTTGCGTATGGAAGAATGGCTGAAGATGCAGCGGAGCGTGCTAAACTTTACTACGAGATGATATTCACAATTCAAAGTATCAATAGACACGGATTAGACTACAATTTTGCTTTGATCTATATTAAGTTGGGATGAATAGGACAACATACAACCAGGTAAGCAGCCTTAAGCGTGCCTTGCAGGGGGTATATCATTATAGAAGATTTCATCACCATCCCCACCAAGATAATCAGCATCTTCGTCTTCATGACAAAGGTCCTGCAGCATTCGGAGTTGTCGTTCCGCCCGATCGCGCTGCATGGCTGCCGTCTTTTCATGCACTTTATCCAGCAAATACCGAAAGGCGACGACAAACCAGTCACGTTGGTGCTCGTTCACAGCTTCAATGTCAAGAGACCGCAATGATGTCACTAAAGAAAAACAGTGCGTTGCTTTGGCGGAGGATACTAACCCCACTGCTCGAGCTCGAGTAAAAACTGGTGTGTCAAGACCTTCGCGCACTGAAATGATCTCATCCAGTTGGATCGAGTCACCGCTGCGGCCAAGCCATGACACTTCGCCAAACCTGTCGACAAACACACGCGTCTTGTGTGGCTTTCCCTTACGCCCATATTTCCAAACTGGTAGAGTTTCCATGCGCTTCATAATCGTAAGTTCTACTTGCTGAGCTACTCGTCGCTCATGATCTTGCGCAAGATCGACTAAAAACTCCAAACTGCGTTGAAGCCATTCCCTTTCTTCGGCAGTCCTAGCCTTAAGGTCTAATGTGCGTGTATGCGTTACCACTGACAGCGTACACCCAGCATCATCGATAGTTAATGTACCTTTGTGCAACGCACGTGCCAAGACACTTGTGGAAGGGCCAGACGTTATGTAACGTATACTGGCCAAAGGAATGGCATTCTTAGCCTTCACGCGCTTTTTGCCCATTGTCGTTGTAGCTGTCACACCGTCCACGGCAATATGCGTGGCCTGGGCCAGCAATTTCGACGTCCAACGTAGCGTGTCGCCGTTCTCCACACACAAGTTAGTACCGTGAGGTTTTCCCTTGCGTCCAAACTTGACAACACTCGTACCGGCCACACACTGCAATGCTACTCGATACTCCGTCATTTTGTGCTGCAAAGTTGAATCTAATTGCTTTTGCTGAGCCTGTCGAGTACGCGCTTCACTTTGCACTAAAGCACAAATGACCCATGTAACTGAAATTGCCGATCGTTGTGAAATGCGTTTAAGTTTGCAAGCGTTGTGTACAATTTGCAGATAGTAAGCAGCCCACTTAGTTCCTCGAATCTCAAACTCAAGCGACACAATCAACTCGCGCATGAATTTCTTAGACCGCTTTAAGTTCACAACATGACAAGTCGTTCGAATATCTGTAGACAAATCTCGTGGAAAAGAGCTCAAAAACCCGTCCACCGAACTTTCTCGCCATCTTTCACGAGAATCAAAGCGTAAGGATATTAGCGTCTGCGTCTTGGACATTGCGTCCGAAGACGACCTTCGACAATTATATTCTTGAGAGATCAATGCATTTAAATTCTGCCTGCCTTCTCTTCGTAATGACACTCGAGAAGATCTTGATGATACTGACAATTCGGAATATCGAGAACAGCGCAACGACGAAGAACGAGACGAGCGCTGTGGATAGATGCCAATAGATTGGGGTGAGCTAGAAGCGTCACGTGCATGGGAGGACGGACACAGCTTAACATTATCAGTGCCGACCGGGCTTTCGGTCTCATCTTTCACACCACTAAAACTTCGACTACGGCTCCGTTTGCTCCGATTTTTTACTTTCTTGGGTCGAAGACGAAGATGATACGGCCGTTTGTTTTCATCTTGACCATCTTGCTTTTTATTCAAAAAGAGAGCTAGGAACCTCTTGGATGTAGACGATGTGGTTGCTGCCGATTCGGCTGGTTTTGCTCGTCGACTTAAACCCATGACGAGTTGATGGGAAGAAGAGTAAAAAACAACTAATGTGGCTCTTGGAGATAAAGTGGAATCAATATCACTGTGTATGTGAGGTTTCAGTCCTGTGCTAGACTTTCTATTCGAAGAAAAGGACAAGTGAAAAGCTATAATAAAGACAGAGCGTGGCGAAAGCCGACCACGACAGTTATCGTGGGAATACAGTAATTTATTAAGGTGAAGTAGGAAATGGTGAAGGCACAGTAGGCATTTGTAAATCAGGCGTTGATGGATGGGATCGGCCTCCAACAAGTACTGACCATAACTTAAGTAGTAAGCAAACTTCAGTCAAGAGGAGACTGTGTGAACCGTTAGTGCATTAAGGGGGCAGTTAATAATGAGTGATCCATGACGAGTTCAGAGTCATTTGAAACACAAGGCTTTTTGCAAAATCAGTAGCGTTTCATACGTAGTAGTTACAATCTATAGGGCTCAGCCTCAAAACTGGTCTGCTCGATGTACAAAAACGATCTAGATAAATATTATGAGAAGACAGCCAACTATACACTAAACAACTTTTAAAAGGTTGATCACAACCGATCGACTTTCGCATTGTTTGAAGATAAAGTCAAAAGGACAAAACTGATATCTGAAAGACTGCAGGATTCACAGTCTCATTAAGTTTTCTGGCCAGGGTGGAAGCACATCCAAACAAACAACAATCTATCATTGAGATCAGGAATTCTTTATCGCAATTTCAAATTGCCAATTTGTAATTTCCAGCGAACGGAAGACTAGCATGAAATTTCTCTGTGTTGATCACCGCTTGCGTACGCTTTATCATGTAACCCGTCTAGCCATTGGGCAAGTGATGATCAATAGGTCTCGAAGTTATTTGCTAGCATACAATACCAGTTTGAGCTAGGTGAAGCAAATCCGCGATGATACCAATGTCACGAGTTGAGAGCATAAAAATTCTGTTTAGCTGATGAGATGTTGGATTTATCGTTTTCAAGACTATCCGTTATAAGGAGAAAGGATCTACGTGATACAGCTGACCCTACCTCAAATCCAAATAATGGGTGAGCTATCGACCGTGACGCTTAAAGCTATCGCTTTCAACTAAACTTCTTCATTTTCTATTACACAGGCTACTCGTTTTGTTGCCGACTCGACATCATCGCTCTTATTGATTTCCACGTCCATACATGTTTCACGATATCTGATCAAAATAAAAGCTAATATGTGCTGTAATGAAAATTTGAAAGCTGACGGGGTAATTAAACTCGATTTATCAAAGGTGCAATAAAGAAATCTACCAGATAAACAGAAAAATGAAAACAATGTACCAGATATTTGAAAAATAAAAAAATTCACCAAGTGTACACTACCTCGAGTGTAGTTATATATACATATACGTACGTAGTGCAAGAAAACATCATTATATCTTGTGAAAGTGATCCATGCAAAGCTAGTAAATAATCTCTAACAGGGAAATAATTTGCCCGACAACCATATAACGCTTCATCACATGCTGTTAAGACCCACATTCTTGCAAGCACCGCATCTACTAACCTGTTTCTTTCTAAGCTGAGCAGTTGTTTGTTGTGACGTAATACGACTCTTTTTAGGTCTTTACACTTCTTCAAAAACATGTTGATATAGAATCTGCTTGTAAGTGGAAGAAAGATTTTATATGCTGTTGCAAATGTCGATGTCTTCCATGAAGGGTTTGTTTATCCCATGAATGGTTCAATATAAAATTGCGAGATGTATACATGTGTACATATACATCGACGTAGTTTATTTACACTTGGTATTTTTTCTTAGAGAATCTGGTATACTGTGTTTATTTTTCTGCCTATCTGGTTGATTGCTTTTAATCTCCCTCCTTAAAATGATGTATATATTTATATGAAAGTACCTCAATCACCAAGTTAAATATACATCGGCATTATGACATCGGGTTGCGACTCGTCATGAAGAAGCTCATAGACGGCATCTTTGCGCGATCTCATTCGTCAGATATCGTCCACGCAGCATCTTCGCTAACAAAATCGGATGATTTTATCCCGAATGTGTCTGCTACAAAACGCTGGGGAGGTTTAGTGCTGCCTTCTTTGACGCATCCTGGACCTTTTCCCGCTGACCAAGTGCGCATTCATAATTTTACAAATCTTAAAGCCTGTTTGAAATCTCAAATTTTTAAATAGGAGAAGATAAAAAATGTTTGCGCGGTGCTGCGAGGTGTAGCGATGCATGTCAAGACTGTGTGCGTATCTCTAAAAGCTGATTATTATACATAAAAGTCAATGCCTTACATTAAATACTGCTTAGTATATCTGCGATTATGGAAGCTGAAGAGTATGAACGAGATTTGAAAAACTTGCGAGACTTTGTGCAAGAGACGTTTGTCAATCAGCAGCAGTGCGGTGTGTAAAGGCATTGATCAAACTAAAGTTACTATCAAGGTTTACTGACAGTTCCGTTGTGTTGTATTATTCTGTAGATGACTTGTCAGTTGAAGGATTAAAAACCTTCTTTTCTGATCCACTGGGACTAAATTTTTGTGAGCAGACAGCATTTCCGTCGCTGGTGCTAGATTTTGCGGCAAAAATGCGAATTTTTGCTGTGAAGGAAGAGCTATGCAGCACGATAAAGTTAAATCAAAGTCGGAAACACGAGGAACAGCTGCATCAGAGTGGAAAAAGGGGAATTTTTGTCGAAACTATTGCGTCACTTGAGTTTTTGATGAAATGTGTAGTAGCTATCGCATCAAACGAGACACTCATGGAAAAATTTCGGTGCGAAATGCCAACTTTAATCGCTTTGATAGCCGAAGAATACCCGTCAGTCGCAATTTTTCTACGCGACTATTGTAGCCGTGCGCTCTTGGCGGTGTCGGAACGCAACTTCAATGCAGGGCTGACATGGTATTTGCTTGATTGTGATATCATTGCCCAAACTGTGAAACGGATGGAGCAATATACGCTAGCTTCAACTTCAAATTTTAATACGGTTGGACGGACATTACAAAATTATACGCCATCGCCCTTAGGTCGATTTCAAGCTGGTGGAGCGAACGTTATCGATGACTCGGCGGCTGCAGCTGCTGTCAGCGAGGCACTTGGGCTCAGACGTAGTAGCAGCAATGCAAGCGATCGTGAAACTTACGTTCCAGTTGCTCCTCTGGAACTGCCAAGCGATGATGTGACTTACAGCAATCGCGAGCGGGATATCTCGATACCGTCCGAGACAATTTGTCTTCCTTCTTATGATGCGCAAGGTGGTTTCAGTGCCCTTGTTTACGTCTTGGAGAAAACTTATCGCTTTACTCATGCGCTCTTAGAAGAATTTCATACAGTTGGTGGATACCAATTATTATTGCGTCTTCTAGATACGTGCGATGAAGAAAAAGCCTCTGCCTTGTTGAACTCTTTGGCATGTCTTGTACCGCTTGACTCTCGGTTACTGGAAAACAATAGAGGGGAAACTTGTATGCCTTCCGTAGGTGCACGTAATGTTTACGCCTTCTCTACTATGCGAGACTTGGTGCTGAAGTACATAAGTGATTTGCCGTACGATGCGGAAACGGCTTCAAATTTAGATATTTCAATCCATCGTCGGAATGAGCAATTGATTTTACAATCGCTTACCCAAATTTTACAATTATACACTGTTGACTACGCCAATTTCGTCTTTCTCGAGCCCAGAACCCAAACACTAGCATTACTACTGACAAAGCTACCATGTACGAAATTTTACGAAGCACAGGTTATAATCTTGCGTATTGTGGAATACGTCTGCTGCGCTGCACATCCCAACGATCTACTTCCTCACAAGATATTGTCGGTGTTGTGTGGACTATTAATCGCATATGATCCTCTTGGTTGTCACGAGAGCAAAGTAAATGTAAAAGCTTCCGATGAAGTTCAACTACCGTCAGAATTAGCCATAGAAGATATTATGAAGGCATTTGAGGTCGGGGCAATACCAACACTTTCGACCTCAGTGTGTGAGCTGTTAATAAAAATATTGCGAGATTCCGAAACAGATAGCTACAAACAAGAAGTTAGCGCATTTGGACTGATGGATCGCGGAATTTATGTGTGGTTAGATCAAATTGCCACATGCTTGACCACTATTTCGGAAACGGACTCGTTAAGAACAAACATAGCCCTGACAGTACTAAAGCCTCATCTTGATATGTACGCAAAACTTTCTTGCTTAATGCTACATCATAATTTTCAAGAAATTATTCGCTTTCGGCAAGCGCAAGCTCATCGATCATTATATGTTATTGTTGAAGTAATTATTTCGAGCGACGCCATAGTCACTCCTTGCAATATCGTTAAAGAAAGTCATTTGCTTTTGAATGAGCTTCCTATAGCGTTAATATTTATGGAGCTCGTGATCGCTTTGAGAGACACAAGTAGCCATGAAACATCAGACCAGCTGATATTGCTGCAGAATGGTGTAGAATCGGATATTGATGCCGTCTTGACATTAATGAAGCGCTTTAGTGGATTCGCTTGGCGACAACTAGTGCTTTTATACATTTTAATGGATTTACTCAAGGCGGGTGGGGTAGCGATTGCCCGGCTGTGGAAATTATGTCGGGGCTATGAAAGGTTGATGGCAATTTTACCATCTGAGAGCCTACTTTTAAACAATGATTCATGGGAGATTATGTTCCAGTTGTTAGATTCACTGCTGGAATTAGTGAATGTGTCGCTCGATTTACGACATGGTGAGAATGACAACGCTGAATACATGAGGTCTATCAATGGGTATTCGACCATTACAAGCTACATTCTCACTTCCGGCTTTATGCAATCGAGCAAAAAATACATAATTTTGCGACGAGTGTTCGACCTTATAGCAAGTGGCACCTCGCACATTGAAATTCTTAATGGCGATGCTGTCTTTATTCTATTTCAGTTATTGCCGAGTTTGTCCGAGTGTGTGGCTGTAAACACGATGAGAAAATTGCTCTCAATGCTGGAATGTACAAGCAATGCATGTCTAATATTGCAGAAGGAAAGAGCTATACGTCTAATTCGGGCTGGAACGTTTGAGTGGATGAACAATCCAAATATTGTGAATAAGATTAAAAATGCACAGGACCCGCTTAATGTATACTTACTTGAGTGGATCACAACAATTGTGCTGAGAGAGAATCTCTCGATTCCGCAATTTCATCATGTTCTCAGACTGATTGGCAATACCATGCCAAAGCTGCTGAACAATCAGCACTGTTTTACGCAGAGGGATGGAAAATCAGACGATCTGAATCCAGAGACGGGACTTCTACTACTCCAAGAATTAGTAAGGTATCCATCGATCCGCCATATCTCTGTTGGCAAGCCACAAGAAGCTGGACAAACTGGGCAGTATGTGCATATTGTGAATAGTACTGACCGAGTATGGCCTCCGCCAACGGCATACTCCTTTTCGTGCTGGCTTCGTTTTTCTACCTCAGATGCTTACAATACCACAAATAGCTCGAGGTCAGCGCTAGAAGTAAAGCCAATACATCCACTTTGTGAAGGCGATTTAAGCTTGGCTCCAGAGGGTGACCACGAAGAGTGCATAGATGCATATGGAGTCTTGATAGATACAACTTTGACACTATATGCATCAAATGAATGGGCAACCGACAATGTCGCTTCTATCGGCGAGTATCATGTGACCAATGTTGCTCGAACGGGTCCGCTGGAGTGGTCATTCGCATCGGGTTCCCAAACTTTTCGAGTTCGCTGTACTGATTCCTCGACGATGGAAAGATGGTGGTATGCCGCGGAACAGTGCCTAACCACAACAACACTCCGCAAGCAAAACGATGTTGACGTGAACAATGCGCTTTTGAGCTCGTTTGGCTTAGCGAATAATGCTGATCCTGCTTCCCAAAAAACCGAAGGAGCAAATTTCAGCGAACAAGAGGAAGGTTCCGCCTGCATTGTTTCAATATATTCATTAGAGACCTCAGGAAGCTATATGCGAGCGTACTTTGAGCACTCAACAGGTTTTCTTCGATTCCACACGGGAGCCGTAAATTCAGGACCCAGCATTAACTCTAACACAAAAATAACATCAGTCGTCTTCGACGAGATTACGATCGATGACCTGAAACCTGCTGGTACGCCTTATTCTACCAACAAAAGTACAACTTGCGACGGCGTTAGTAAGATAAAAGCTGGGATGACAAATCGAATGAGAGACTGGCACCACTTTGCGTTTACGCACCGGAAAAGTGCCATGGGAAGCTCATTGATCACGGTATATATTGACGGACGAGATGTCGCAACTAAGAAATTACACTATCCTTCAGCGCCCTCCATTGGTTCATTTCAAGCATTCATCGGCACTGATGCTCAAGTTTGTAGTCCTCATTCAGCTTTATCATGGAAGATTGGGCCAGCTTGGTTCACAGATGAAGCGATCTCGAGCAGTACGGTTGGAGGGATGTTTTCGTTAGGCCCGGCTTTTTCATCCCCCTTTAGTGGACATTCGTATTGCGCTGTGGGGGATTGGCTCG